ATGGACTCATGTAATCTAAAGTTTCCCCAGAATTTCTGCCATCATTTCACCAAATACCAAACCATTTCTCTACAATCCCTCCCGCTCTTACTATCTCACAATTTGCTGTTTCTTTCAGGGTTCTAAAATCTTACCTTTTCATAATCTTATCAAAAAGCTCAATGGGTATGACTGCGTCCTAGGACAGAATCGATCCATAAAGGAGCCAGTGGTACAGTAGTTAAGGTGCTGAGCTTGCCCTGGGGAGATCTGGATTCATCTGCCCTAAGTTGCAGAAGCTCACTGGGAGACTTTGGGTTAGTCTCTCTCTCTCTTTGTATCTCTCTGTCTCTCTCTCTCACACACAGAGGTTAACCTGCCTCACAGAGTTCTTGTTGTACGGGAAAACGGGACAACAAACACTACAGTATACACTACTTGAGTTCCAGAAGGAAAAGCAATGCTTGTGTGTGTGTGTGTGTGTGTAATAATAATAGCAACAACAAACACTAGATTGGCTTCAAATCAGACCATTGGTCTAGACAGCAGTACTTCAGGGTCTCAGGAAAATATCAAGTAGCTGAGAGTCTCCAAACTGGAAATACAAGGAACCAAAACATGGATTTTCTGCATTCACATCATGAGTTCTACCATGTAAAGTTGCCTTTAAATGAGATAGTCCATTGGCCCACCTAATTCAGTACAGCACAAGTAGTCCTCGTTTGGCAACCACAATTGGGACTAGTAACTTGGTTGTTAAGCGAAGCACTTGCTAAGTGAATCTGCAACTGTGCTTATGAACTTATTTCAGCTTTCCTTTGCTTTACAGACCTGCAAAGGTAGTAAACGACGGCATTTTTCATCACTGTCGTAACTGCGAAGGTCACTGTCCGAGGCAGTAGCTAAACAAGGACTAGCTGTACTATCAGATAATACAGTTTACATAAATTCTAGAAAGGCTTAGGGAAAAAAAGTTTTTTTCAAAACCCAGTTTTTAGGACCTTCTATATTGAAAGCACATACTCAAATAGTATCTCACTGACATACAGCGATTATACCCTATATAATCACTGACATGGGAGTAGAATCCTTATACTATAACCTATGACAATCCAAAAAATAAAATTAAGTTCAATATTCCAAATGTTTTCTTCACAAAACAATTCCTTCTGAAAATGAAAAGGCTATTAACTGCATTTAAATCTGCAGTTTTAACAAGTTTAGATCTGAATAAAATATTTCACCTATCAGGCAGAACACTTTCATTAGCTCTGCTTTAAGGGAACTTTGGAAGCATCAGGAATTGTATCCCTGGCATTGCACAGAAAGTATTAAGAATTTAAATGTATCCAGAAGAAACATTCTTTAACCAAATTTTACTTTGTTAAATATCTATTTCATAAACTTATTTGCAAAATTTAAGTATGGGCTATTGCTCACAAACGACATTTGCAGTTAAGAATGTTGTTGGGCTTCAACATTTATAAAAATGAAGCCGCAAGGTCGTTCTTACTAGCTCAGCATTCACTAAAATATGATTTTAAAAAAATTAGAGTTCAATAAAGAGCATTCAAGTGATTTTGTACAAAAAAAGGATGATTTTGCAAAGTGGCCCATCATGCTTACTGTGCAATAAACTCAGTTTTTAAATTGCCCCTGAGCATTCGGTAGGTCTGCGGTGGGTTAATTGCCAGGGTCTTTTGAACCCTATTGCAAAAGCTTCTCTACAGAAACTACCCATTTTCCCGTGACTCAGGACCATGATTTTCAAATTGTTTTCTTGTTCACTTCTAATACTTTTACACCTCAAAAGGCAATTTTGGGCAAAAAATAAATAAAATCTCTCTCCGCATTGTTTATACGGTTAGTATAGTTGACGGAAAAGGATTGTAACGAGACTTGGCAGATTGTGGCTTACAACCATCATCTTGTTAGCTCATTGCATTACTTACTAAGGAACCAGTGTCAGCAGCTAAACAGCCAACACGCTGACATGCCTGAGATTGCTAGTGGGAAAGGGAGGCAGGGCTGCTTCGCCCATTAACAAAAAGAAACAGCAAGTTAGGTACCCGGAGTAGAGACCCTTGGGTGCCTTTTCAGTTACTCTACGTGTCTTGTTTGAAACGATGCATCTTGGTTAAGAGGAAAACAAACTGCGGGAAGAGGTTAAAGGTTGTACACCCATTAGGGTAAACTGGGTTCTAACTCTGGCTTTGCTCTAGTTTCCTTGCTTCCCTGTGCAATCCACTCTAACCTATATGGCAACCTTATTGCACAGCTATGACCTACGCAGAACTCAGGAGGGTGGTAGCAGCTTTTCAGACCAACAAACTTTATTAAAATGCACGAGCTTCGAGCATTTTAATAACATCTGTTAGTCTGAAAAGCTGCTACCACACTCCTCCTGATTTTTGGCTACCCCAGACCAGCGTGGGTCTCCTGCTACAATAATCTATACAGTAACTTATTATGTGTGGTGCTTTCACATCGGGATGAAGAATGTGACTATAAGCCTGCCTACCAAACTCCCTGGTGTATCTTTTGTCATCCTCTGAAAGGCATGGAAGAAGCTCGTGCCACTGCTTCAGGCCTCTCTGCATGTCAAGGAAGGGGATCCAAAGGGGGGAAGGTTAGCTAGGGGAGGGGAACAGGGCTCCGGCCCCACCCAGGGATGAACTTATGTCATCCACAACGACTCTCGGGAGATGCTCTGATGTGCAGCCAAATAAAGAGCCTTATGCTGAGGCGTGCACACAGTATCATGAGGCTTGACAGTCCCTGCTTTCCCATCACAGGCTTCCATATCAAAAATCAGTCCTGCACCACCTCCTGAACGATAAAATCACACTTCCGAATGGGTATGAAGTGCCTTTGCCTCACACCTGACTGCCTGCAAACATGGCTGGGCTTGGAAGGAAGACCTTCCGAGGAACAAGGGGATTTCAGGGACACCTGAGGTTTGCACTTTGGGGCTTGGAAATGAAGTAAACTGGCTCAAAATCTACTGGGGACCCTAACTAAACACAGTCTCATGCTGAGAAGAGTTAACAGGCAAGCCCAGGAAAACTCAGGGTGCAACAAGCAGCATTTATAAATGGCAAATCGTCTCAGCAGCAGCCATTTCGCAGACTGGGAGTTGAGACCTTTTGCATGAGAGTCCCCTCGCCAAATGAGGATGCAGACAAATTCATGCCCTTTAATCTGAAAATAGCTGTATTAAATACCGCTAGCCAATCTTGGCTGATCTCAAAGACCCTAAGCAGGGTTGGACCTGCTGAGTCCTTGGTGGAAAATGACCAGAAAGTCCCAGGGCTGTAACCTAGATTGGAAAATCCCAAAAACAAAAACAAACATACAAACAAAAACCAATGGCAAACCAATTTCATATATTCTTGCCAAGAAAACTGCATGGATCTATCCAGGCTCAACCTTTTTACGACTGTGGGCTTCACATGGCAGGCTGGCTGCAAATGCATATATGTAGACACAACTTTATCCAGCGCACACTCACCATTCACACACAGACCCACACACAGTCATATTCGGTGAATTGCGGCAGAAACAAGGTCATATTTTTTACCACAAACCAATTTTGTGGTTTGACTCTTCAAGTTCCCCTTCTGTTTTCAATTAGCTGCTGTTTATCATCTTGCCTAGAGGCCATAGTTAATTGTATTTTATTCAAGCAAGCCAGCTAGATTCATAATCCATGATTTGAAATTTGGTGGCTTGAATAAGTCATAGTTAAGTGAACTTCATACAGTTTCAGAGATAAACCAAAGGTTTATCAGTTAAAGTTATTGTATCCTGTTTCTCAGGGCTACTCTGGAGGGAAAAAATTGTTAAGGTGTGCAAAATTGCACAGGCCCAAGGTTTATTCTTGGGGCCTATTAATCTTTAATCCAATGTTCAGGCTCATCATTATGGATTCAGCTCCCATAATGCTCAGTCAGCATGGGTCAAAGGGAGAAGGGTACATTGAGAGCTATCATCTTGCTTCTTATATTTGCCACCACCAGTTGTAGAAACTAGAGGAGTAAGTTATCCAGGAAGAGCATTCAGACAACCTCACTCTACAGAAAAATGAACAGTGCCAGCAGCGGGTGTAACTTTCATAATTTTTTTTTTGGCCTAATTATTGTACAAGGTTTTTAAAATGTACTTATTTTATTATTCCACATTTCCTATCATTCAGAGATGGCTTATATAAACTGTTTTTTATAAAACAATTAGTTCAAAACCTAAAAAAACCAACAACAACCCAACAGAATTAAAATAGCAGGAAGCTTGTAAAAACTTACAATAAAAACTACATTATTCCCCCCTAAAATCCAGTTTACGTCCCAGTCTTTGTCAGAATGGGCAATACAGTACAGTATAACTCTTGTCTCAGGATAATAATCCATGAAACTAATGAAGCAGACCATTGTCCGTAAAAACTAGGCGATTTCAAATGTACTATTTTTAAAGTGCCAGAAGAATATTTGTGGTTTTTATCTAAACTAATTCATTCTTTCCCTTTAGAAATACAGCGGTAGAGTGGAAGAGTTTGAACTACAGGGGCTCATGGTGATTTCTCTCCCCCGCTTTTTAAAATGTATTAGTACATTTATACCCCACTTTTCAAGGCAGCTCACAGAACAAAGAGGGTCGTTTTATCCTCACAACTCTGTGATGTAGATTGCAGTATGAGATGGTGACGGAGTGAAGACTATAATTAGTCTCCTTGGGCCCAGTCCACCACTTTTAGCTATATGACACCCACTTTCCCCACACTAGAGTCCCTTTTTATTAACGCTTGAAGCACCAACACTAATTCAAACGTGTGGGTAGGTCAGTGGGTCCAGGTCCCCTAACTGTCTTTCTGATCAAGATATCTTTATAGCAAGTGAACTCCACAAAACGGGCTGGGGATTAAAGCTGTCCTGATGCACATTACAAGCAGCAGAGCAAAGAGCAGCTCAGTTGCACATTCCAGATGACACACTCGTTGTATATAACTTCATTTTGTTTCCTTCCAGCTGGGAGAAGAAAAATCAAAAATTATGGAATAATCGGGGCCCCAGTGACCAGTACAAGGTAGGTGCAGGACTACCTGTGAGCCCCCCAGCGTAAAACTAATGAAAAATATAGTCCAATAATTAACCTGGAAAAAGCTTGGCAGATATGGAAAGGAGGGGCTGGGAGTCAACTGTGTGAGGATTTAGGGAGTGCATTTTAAGGAAAAATACTCATTGCCTCATACCACAGTAATCTCAGCAAGGTGCAGAGAGGGAACTGTTGTTCATCAATAATCCCTTCTTCCCTAGTTATTTGCCATGTCTACGGACTCCAAAGACCGGGAGAAGGATCGCCCAGACTGCTGAGTCAGCCCCTGCCCTGTTGAAGGAAAGTTGCTGGACTTGTCATTGGCACAGCCACATCTTCTGCCCCCTCGCCAGGCAGGATGCGTCAGCCTTTTAAGGGTTCTCGATTCAGCTTCTGCATAAGCCAAGTTAACTCTGCAGCTGCTCTTCCCTGTCTCTGCAGTTTGCTAGTGTCAACCGCAAAGATCGCCTACCGACATCCGCAGCCCATCCGCCAGAATCAAAAGTATGCATTGACCCATTCTACCACTAGGAAATGCCCCTAAATATTGGGCTAACAAGCCACTTGTCTGTAAAAAATCAGAAGGGGAGGGAGAGAGGGAGAGAAAAAGTGACACAAAGCACATTCCTTCTGGTCCCATTTGTGCAAACTTCTCGGTTCAGTATTTTCCTTCCCTTCTTGCAAATATCCTTGGCTTTGACATGCGGCATTTCCTGCCTCCCACGCTCAGTTTTACCATTCCCACAGAGACAGGACAGTCCCAGTACCTAGATTTTGGATCTAATCATGCCAGTTGAAGCCTTGTAGAGGACACCACCCACCACCAATTCTAAAAGGAGTAGCAAGTTGGATCTGCAAATGTACCACCCTTTCACAGAATCTGTCTGGGCCTCACTAGTTGTAGTCCAACATAATTTGTATCCTCGGCCATGGGTATCACCGTAGAAGTATCCAAACTACTTGTGCATTTCTATATTTTTGCACACAGTACTAAGCCGTTTCCAAAAGAGATGAAAGTGGTTGGAGAGAGACTTTTTGCATCTGTTAACAGACACAAAGCTAGCTCCCTTTCGTCTCACACTCTTGTCTCACAGGCTCTCTGGGAAGGGTTTAATAATAGAAAAACCTGTAAGGCCATTTTCACAGAGGCAATGCGAGGGTGGATATGCAGACCATAACTGTGCAGTCACTGGGAGTCATAATAACAACAATAATATAATAATAGTAGTAATTGCATGTTTCTCTTTCAAACTGTCTTCACCTCTGGGAAAATTGTGTCTTCCCTATGTGGGTTATTTGGTTTGGCTCCAACCACGAAACACAAATACAGACCAGAACTAGACCAGCGAACAGGCTACTCAAAGTCGCCCCAAGACCCTGCCCTCTCCCCCACTCCCTTCCCGCTCCTCCTCTTCCTTTTTTCAGGGGGAACATGATCACTTGCCCCTCTGCCATTCAGCAAACGCCGTCTGTTGCCACAGGCCCAGACAAAGGGCCTCTGCAATTAGATCGTTTCCTGTTTCTTCCTCCCTTAAAATAGCAGTGGGGAGAGATTCCCATTTCGATCAGAGCAGCTTTGGGGGAAACTGTAAACTATGTTCACCCCACCCTGTTTTCTGATGGAAATTAGGCACCACAGCTGTTCTTTGTCCACTGGGCATCAGAAACCAGGCACAAAGCCTTCCTCGTGTCGAAAGCTAACGGCAGTTATGAGGAAGGGCCACTTGGATCAGAAAAATAATACAGTGTGAAAAGGCTGTCCAAAACCTGCCTCTGGAGCTGCTGCTTCAGCCCCAGCGGGACTCCACCCCTGTTGCAGCTCTTTTAAAATAAAACATAAATAACATCAAGGAACTCCATCCCTAACTACAGAATCTTACTTTGGGCTCTTAGCAAAGTGGGCAAGCTCTCTGGGTTCTTTAGCTTCCTCCACTTCGGGATCTAGGGACGTGAGCAGAGCTCTGTGGCCCCAAGGCAAGCCTTTCAGACACTCTCTTCAGCTCAAATGCCAGCGTCTCCGTTCGAGGGAGCAGACCTTCTCGGGGATTGCAGATGTCGCCTGTAGTTGGGCAGGAGCAGCAGCAGTAGGGCAGAGTTGGGCCAGCAGGTTGCATCAGCACCAGAGCCGTCAGATCTGGCCTGCAAAAATCTGGATGACTGCTAGAAGGCAGCAAAATGTGTTCTGTCTCACTCCTACCTACGGCTGTGGTCTTTTTGGCCTGAAAGCAAGAAGAAGATGGGGATGGAGAACACCACCCAGCTGGTAGGTCTACGGGGAGAGGTTGCCACACTTACCCAGAGCCTTCCTCACCAGTGGCTCCACCCCCACCTGTTGCGACGCTCTAGGCCAGTGCCTAAGTTCCTCTATGGTGTACATTTCTTTTAAAGACTGAAGGCCTGGCTGGAAGCCTTTGTGCCTGAGGGGCCCCTGTGGCTACCACCCCTTCCTTCACGGTCTTTAGGCCAGAGCCAAGATGCATTCAGACATCCTGCAGTTATTTGATGAGCATGTGTCAGGCCTAGCCCAAGGAACTCCAAGAGACCATGTAAATTCAGTCCAGCAATGTTTATTAGCTACAACCTCTAGCAAGAATCTTCCCAGACTGAAACCCCAGCTCCCAAGTAATGCCAGCCACAACATTGTGAATTCCTCAGGGCCCAAGGAACTCCAAGAGACCATGTAAATTCAGTCCCGCAATGTTTATTAGCTACAACCTCTAGCAAGAATCTTCCCAGACTGAAACCCCAGCTCCCAAGTAATGCCAGCCACAACATTGTGAATTCCTCAGGGAGGTGCCAGTCTCATCCTCTTATCTCTCCCTCGCGCCTCAGGAGATGAAAGAAAACGTTTTTCTCCCTGAGTCTGGCCTTCATAATTCCATTCCATCACAACATGGCTGGTTTCCCAAAGTTAAGCAGGGTCAGACTGGGTTTGTACTTGGAAAGGAGACCACCGGGAAATCTTTCTAAGAAGACAAAACATCTTGGAAGAAGACACTTCAGTATGACTGCCCAAGAAAATCTGTGAAACCACCAGGACTTTTAAGATTCTCCACTAATCTTCTGCCACACTGTCAGCCCTCAATTCAATTCAGGCTTTCTTTCAAGGATTTCCTTTAATTCTATATTATGACAGGAGAGGAAGTGACTAGAATTACAGTACCAGTAAGCTAAAACTGCCGTGTTTTTATCCTCTCCTTCACCTAATCCTTACATGCCTTCTGTTATACCTCTTCTCTCACACCAAGACAATTTCCTTGCAGAGAAAAAGAAATGACATCTCTGTTCCTACATATCAAAAAATTATTTAAATCTGGTGAGACTGAAATCAACCTAAGCAGTGAGAATATACAATTAGGCAAATCTGATCTGAATCCATACCCAAGGCTCAGCTACAGTTTGACTAATCACAGTTAGTGCAACAAGACATGGTTTATGTGTAAGCCATATATTATAGTTTATTACATTACAGCTTACCATATGTACAACCTCTTAATGATCATTCCACAAACCTGTAAGGTACCAAGTGCCTTGATGTGCCATTTCCATGCTGCGGGTTGCCAGGTCCAAAAATGTAGACCTGAGCTTTCTTTTTAACAACCCTGCTATACTCCAACCCATTGTTCATTCTGGTCCCTGCCTTTTGGAACAGGCTTTGACCCTTAGTAGAGAGAAAGGAGAGAGCCAGTTGGTGAAGTGGTTAAGGCATCAGGCTGGAGGCCATGAGTTCTAGTCCTCCCTTAGGCATAAAGCTGGCTGGGTGACCTTGGGCCAGTCGCTCTCTCTCAGCCCTGGGAAGGAGGCAAGGGCGAACCCCTTCTGAAATCTTGCCAAGAAAACTACAGGGTCTGGTCCAGGCAGTCGCCAGGAGTCAACGCTGACTCAAAGGCGCATGTGCACACACAGGAAGGAGCAGCGAGTAAAGAAATTGCCATGCCAATATGAGCAATTTCTTAAACCACTAGAGAAAAAGACATGACTTCCACCTGGCAGTCTTGTAGGACTGGGAATCAATCATATATGTAGATATAGGGTAAATAATCAGCTACACAACTGTAACATTAGCGTGTAAGCTAGGGATGCAGCTCAATTTGTACTCCCATTTCACAGTTATTACAACAGAGGCTCCTTCCCAAAATAGGCCCCATTTCCTGCAGCTGTTGTCTTTTGGCTCTGAAAGCAAAAAGGAGAGGGGGGGCGGAGGTCCCCACCATCTAACAAGTCTGCAGTGAAAAAGTGGCAGGTGTTGTCTCCTGCTGCTCCCTTAAATCTGTAGTTTCCTGCCACCCTTAGGAAGAGATGACAGTTCTGCTTGGACTTGGGAGAGAAATGCAACATTCACTATTATTCGTGATTGCCCTCCCACTCTATTTCCCCCCCTCCCTGCCTAAGCCACACACGCTGGAGGCGAAATCCAATCGCATTGAACAAATCCAATTTGCAGTAGCAGCTAATAGAGTTTGTTGCTGGTTTAAGCGATGGCAGCGTCAGAAACGCTCTGAAAAGCATCTAGGCCTCAGGCCAAGTGGAGAAAGAATGAAGTGGAATACTGAACCATCCACACATATGGGCCTGGCCAAGTTTTGCTTGATTTCTTCCTCGGCCTTTGACTGTGCGCCAAAGAAAACGAGGACACAAAATCGTCCAGGAGAACTATGCCATTACATCTCTAAGCAGTCTCCTGTTTCGACTGAGGTTGGGCAAAGGCGAAGAGGAAGACTCAAGCCCCGCTGGGATCAAACTCCTGGGGGCAGCCCCCTTCTCTGTTTCTCTCATTCGTTTCCCCCTTCCTTCCTAAAGGCAACATTTCAGCTGAGGGTCATAAATGAAGCCCCAACTTCTTTCTCAGAGCCCTTCCTTGCTGGCCTACTCTTCTTCCATATGGTGGGAACAAGAATTCTGTTGCACCCTTGAGAAGGCAAAGGTGACAGTTCTGGGTCAGAGGCTGAACAAATTTCCATGTCTAGGACAATAAGACCTTGATTTGCTGGTGAGTACATCAGTGTATAATGGGGAAAGAACTACTCTGTGTGTACAGGTAGTCCCCGGGTTAAGAAAGCCCAGGTTACAGATGACCCATAGTTAAGAATGGAGCTTATTGTAGCAAAATTTGAGTTAAATACACAATGGTTCCAGTTAAGTACACAACGGTTTGAGTTCATTACACAATACTACTCACACAGTATCATACCATAATATATGTGTACACATTTTTGCATCCAGAAAGGAAAATGTAATAGCCTATAAGGGAATTTTCTGCACTTCAGTACAAAGGTGTAGAACAGATCTATTTCTACTCCATCTGCTCTACCATTCAGCTGTACGCTGAATGAAGTAGCCATATTCATACAAAATGTGAATTCATGGTTAACTGAACCATGTTACTGAATTAACCCAATTGCTTGGTTTGCGCAACATACTGAATCATGAAGTAACCACAATGAGCCACAAGCAAAGCAACCCCACTTAAGTCCCCTTAACAGCAGCTGGAAGGTGCATCACTAACCATTCTGTTTTTTTTTAATAATAATTTTATTGAATATTACAGTTAAACAGATAAAAACTAATACAAACTACAAAAAATAAAAGAATAAACAGAAAAAATAGAAAGTGCAGAAAAAAGAAAAATAATAATATAGAAAGAATAATAGAAAAGAAAGAAAAAATAAAAATATAGCAAAGAAAAAGTGAAGAAATATGTAAAGAAGTGACTTACCCCTTCGTCACAACAAGTATAAACAATTTTAACAACTTTTCACCTTCTCTTAAAATACAACAAATGATCTCTTCACCCCATATCTCATCTCTTATCTATAAACAGATCCTTAAAACCTTGTCATTCAGTCCTGGTCAGCAAAAGTCCGTTAAAGATTACTAGAAATAACAACATATCTATTTTAATCCTGATCAAATAAACCCACTTTATATTCCTTCCTTCTACTTTTAACGATCTTAATCTTTAATCCCTTCAAATAGTGTCCTAGAGCTTGTTTTCTTTTCATTTTTTCTTTGTCCCTTCTCACAAAATTCTTCAAAACTTTTATAGATCTCTTTTGTAAATCTAATATAGTCACTCTTCTGGTTTGTTATTTGTAAGTCCCTTTTAATTATTAAGACATCGGATGGTTTCATTTTGATGTAAGCCACCCAGAGTCCCCCATTATGG